AAATTTCACACAAAACAAGATTTTTATGTTATCCAGCTACAGCTGTATACACCTATTTGTACAGTAAAATATGAGTATAATCAGATCATTAAAATAAGTGGCATTATTTATAGAATTGCATAAAGATTTACTTTCTGATCAAGATTTGGTAAGACATGCTTATGGCTCAACAATCTTCCAGATTAGATGGACTGGCTGATTAAAATGCATCAAATTACCAAAGGAAATAATTTACAAAGGAAATACTGGACATGTTATGTAACTTTATCATTGCAATGCTAGAAGACACAGCAGAGTTAACCATGTGCTTTAAACGGCAGCTTGTCAACTTTATCAGGTTTTACCTCTAGGTGAAAACCTGCAACACTTTCATCGTGTGTTCAAGATGACATCACATCTTTGAGCCCTTCACCTCACTGTACATTCATTACTATATTATATTATATTATATTATATTATATTATATTATTATGATTATGATTTAAATAGAACCTTAGGTCATGTTACACTCCTGACAATGACCTGAAGTGATCTCACCTCTTCTGGAGAATTGTACAAGAATAGTTTTTGTCTGTATGTGAAAGCTAGATTAGAAAATATTGAGCTTTTGACAATATTGCTAAATATTATGATGGCAATATCAGTTGTCATATCTACCTATTTTTTTCTATAATCATCTGTGTGCTCATCACTCTGTGACCTTTAGCATTTGGCAGCTGGTGTGAACATCTGTAAGACTGTCCAGCTGGCTGAATGTTACATTAGGATGAAAAATGCAAGTTCATAACACAATATTTTAGTGGACAATTATTTATTAATTTTATTTATGCATTTCAAATAGACAAAAAGGTGAAAACAAGAGAAAAAAAATTAAAACAAATAATCATACCTGTTGACAAGTAATTTTACATTAATTGTTTGAAAAGGAGCCGGTAGAAGATCGCAGATCTGATTATTTACTGCCCTTCTCCTACTCATAACAAACATTTAAATCTTCCCACATTGAATGAGACTCAAATCTCACATAAATGTAATCCTTAAATGTATAACTATTTATACATTTTTCATATCATCAATAGAATTTTTGGTCTTTGAGACACCCAAACTATACTACATATTTCCCAATAAGATTGCACATCTAACAGTTATTTGTAATGTGAATATTGCACACACCATTATTGTGATCAAACAAATAAAATGATATTATAATGCTCTCCAGGCGGTGTTCTGCAACTGTTTATATCTTCATGTTTGTCTTGGGCAACTTGTTAAACTGAGAGATTACTAAAGCTAATTAACTTATTCTAGATATGTTTTAGGGACACTTTCTAAAAAAAAAAAAAAAAAAAAATTGGTCTGGAAACAAATTTACTTTGTTTAAAACACATTTGTATTTTAAAAATTTGAATATGGAAACAATATTTCCTCCTCAAAATAAAAGAAAAAATACTAATCTATTTATTTAACCAAAACATAACTTAAGTGAGGTGATCGAGAACCAGTCCTCATTTACAAGGCCAATCTTGGTAAGAGGCCTGAGAGATGCAGCGTGCATGTTGCAGCAACATGTAGAGGAAACTCTGCTAAAAAGCTAGAGGAGTTCTGTGCAGTAGCTCGGCTCCAGGGACGACATCAAAGATTCAATTTAAAAGGCTCAAATCCAAGTGAAGTTCTGAGTCTTTACTGATGAGGTAAAATTGGGGTAAACTCACACCTCTGGTTCAGTCACACTACTCAAAGTAGATGTCCTTCTATAGAACTCTGCTTTTTTCCTTTGACATAAACCAGATGAGTTATTCAACAACCACACAACACTTCAGGGTCCTCTGCAGCTTCCACATCACCTTGCTTTGATTTCCTCCAAACCTTCATGTAGTCTAAGTGATTACAAATCAGTTGGTAAAAAAGACATTGCATCATTGACATAGAACTCCACTTGTTCACAACAAGATATCAATTTGACCAGCAGCAGGAGATAAACTGTTGAGATCAACCCAAACAAACAAGCATACAGACATGGAGGCCTGAAGATGACACTTCGATATGTGCATCATTCAGATGTTCCAGTTCATTATTCAAATGTGAAAAATTTACTCTACATTACTTTGTTTTTCTTTTAATACTAAGAAGGCTAGAACATGGTGTACGAGGAAGGATGCATGCTTCAAATGATCCAATTCCATTAGATTTTTTTCAAAGACATCCAGTTATGAGCCTTTAATGTTGTTGCTATAACAGCAGCACAGAGCAGGGATAAAAGCTAGAGTACAAAAAATAGACAGGAAGACAAACAGAAAAGCAACAACCACGAACAAACTAAATATCATCCCAAAATAGCTTCTAAGATCAATGTATTACATATATCTGCCTCTAAAGCAGACACACACAGAGCTTCTCCACGGCACCAGCACAGATTTTGTTGATTTCGTACATTTTTCTCAACTGAACCCCCTTATTTAACAGCACTGCTCTGTAAGATTAACCACAGAATCTCACTGCCACAGACAAACAAGTCTGGTAGAAATATGGACATAAAATTGAGACAAAAAAGAGAGAATGTGTGTGCACGTGTGTGCGTGCGTGCGTAAGGGTAAGTGTGTGTACCAGGTTTTTATATACATGTGGGCACCATTGCTCCTTGAGGGGACAAATCCTTGGTCTCCATGAGGGGAAATGCTGTTTTTGAGTTAGGTGTGCATGGGTGTATGCATGTGTGTGTGTGTGTGTGTGCTAATGAGCCACGACATTGTTTCTGTTTCTCAATCAATTATTTTTGGTTTGTGATGATGTAGTTGTCAGCTGTTGATTCCTCAGTAGTTTTCAGACACACAAGAACAAACCCTCTTCACACACCAGCTGCATCCTCAAAACATTCATTGGTTGAGGTCTTGGCTCCAGTAACAGTTTGCATCACTGTTGCCTTGCAGCAATGAAGGTCCTGGGTTTGAATCCCAGTCTGAGAGTCTTTTTACATGCAGTTTTTTTCCTTGTGCATGTGTATGTTCTCTCTGTTTACTATGGCTTTCTCACAACCCTATCAGTCCAAAAACATGACTGATAGGGTTGTTCTCAGGTTCAAACCTGAGTGTGTGTTTGCATAATTTGTCCTGTCCTTAGGCCTGTCACGATAAATTTTGCCGAGCGATTAATTGTCTAAAAAAATTATTGCGATAAACGATAACATTGTTTCAAGACCTTTTGACACTGATTTAATGGAAATGACTAATAATGCATGCGATTTACTGCCATAGATAGATACACTTTATTTTCAAAAGAACACATAACATTGGAACTGATAAACTAAACAAAACAACCAAAAATAAAAATAAAATGAACAAAAATTGTACTTGAATAAAAATTAAACGACATAAAACCAAAGTGGAAATAAATACTGCATTCAACCAAAAGAATGCAGATTATAAACTCTGTATACTATATTGCCCTTCAGTAATCACGAGATTTAAATAGAGAAGACGGGCACATCCGACTACTTAATGCAATAGTTCACACTACACGATGTTTTGCCCCTATTTTTCCCTTATGACAATCTTAGAATGTTGGCCGATCCAGAGGCGCAAAAAGTGGGTATGCAGCGCATGCAACGCATAGGGGCGCTGCACCAGAGGGGGCGGCGCCCCGATGATTCCTTCGCATACACTTCACCGCGCCCTTACGCTCCGATTTATGGGGGGCCGATTTATGTTTTCGCATCCACCTGAATAATATGTAGTTACGCCCCTGGGCCGATCTAAGATTGTCGCTTGTGATTTCGTAACCGATCATCCTACAGTGTGATTTAGATCGTCTTGGCCATCAGGGGTTTTCCCCGACTGCTAGCGTTAACGCTGAATGTGACAGGTAGCCAATCAGAAAGCGAGGATGCTCCTCTGTGCTTTCTGAGGGGAAATTACGGAGGGGAATCCCAAACAGCTGACACAGCAGCAACCTGAAGTCCAGCGGACATCGGAGATGATATGTGGAAACAACATTAATGTTTATTCAACATTTAGTGCAAAGAATATAGAAATGACAAGGAGAGGAGTTGGAGCCAAATTGCTACCGCAGTTGATAAACCCGGTAAGTGTTCAGCTGTTCTGAGTTAAAGTGACATAAATAGGTTATAATGATTTTCATTCATTCAGGACTTTACACTCACTCTATGGATTGCAGGTAGATTCTAGTAGAGCATTGATTAATGCTTGATACACGGCACGATCGAACCCGATCGAACCGTTGTACCTAGGACAGTGGTTCTTAACCTGGGTTCGATCGAACTCCTGGGGTTCGATGAGTCGGTCTCAGGGGTTCGGCGGAACGCGGGGGTAAAGACACACTTGTGTAAAGTCGTGACGCCCGCTTTGCCATCACTTGCGGCAGAGGATCACGTTACATTGCTTAGCCAATCAGTGCTGCGGAGGAGCACTGATTGAAGGAGCTCCACTCTGGGCATGGATTTGAACTTGTGTCTTTAATTACTTCAGCAAAACTCACCGTTTTTACCAAATTCTGTAGCTTTCGGTGTACTTCTAAATCTGCTCCTTAGTCGCATCTTTTCGGGGTTGCTACTGCCTCTAGTGGCGTGGGGGTGGTAACACAACTAATATAATTACATTACTAAATCAGAATACCGCAAAGTCTTTATTATTTATTATTAATTTTTCATTTTCTTAAGAATGTAGAGCTAATTAAATGATCTAAACAAGGCCTTAAAGTGTTTCCAGTTTCTCTCGATGGCCAACTTGTTGAAACTCTGGCAAATTTTAAATACCTTGGGTCGTTCCTGGACAGTCAGCTCAACTTTGCTGAAAACACCGACTATACACTCCTGATCAAAATCTTAAGACCAGTCAAAAAATTGCAAGAATTTGTATTATGCACTATTGGATCTTAAGAAGGTTCTAAGTAGAGCTTCACAATGTTAAAAGAAGCATAAGAGACAAAAACCTTTGAGCAGGGAATTAATTGAAAATTGCATTTACACTCAAACATGATTTTTTTTTTAGCTGATCAAAAGTGTAAGACCATAGCTCAAAAAACCCCGAAAACCCCCCAAAACAGAAATCAAAGTGTCAAAAAAAAAGGATTCAGTAATGAGTAGCTCCACCATTCTTGTTGATGACTTCAAACAATCGTTTAGGCATGCTTGATGCCAGTATTTCCAAGAGGCTAGTGGGAACGTTGCTCCAAAAGTGTTGAAGATGGCTTCACGAAGGGCATCCACTGTCTGGAACTGATGTCCATTTTTGTAAACTTCCCTTGCCATCCATCCTCAAATGTTCTCAGTTGGGTTTAGATCCGGGGAACATGCAGGATGGTCCAAAAGAGTGATGTTATTCTCTTGG